GATGATGATGATGATGATGATGATGATGATGATGCGGGCGGGGAGTGGGCACACGGTGTACACGCAACATACATACGATTCTCGCGGCCCACAGTGTAATCTAAGTCATACAACACGAGAGAGACCAACTCGCGCCGCAGGAAGTCGGTAAGTCGTGTTAATTAATTTGTATTTGACATTGCTTTTTTGTCAAAGACTTTTGTTTGGAGGTGGAGTTGTTTTCTGTACGACATCCCTTAGTGCGCATCTTCCTCCTCATCCTGAAACCGTGGCTGTGTGCGGCTGTGTGTGTGGCTGTGTGTGTGGCTGTATGCATGCTTGTGTATGTACATGTATGTATGGATGTATGTATGTATGTCGCGGGATGTCGCTCATGTACGCCACTTGAACACGACGAATACAGCTGCCGTACGGATTTTGGCCTTACCATTAAAACACATAAGCACGAAAGTGGCAGTGCACATTTTTGGCTAATACGTCAAGAATTAAGATGCTCCTTATGCCGCCTTTTGATGTGACGACGTACGGCGAAGATGCGTACGACCTTCCATTCTGTCATGTTATAGGTTAGTGAACCGTAGACGGCTGGCTGTCCACTCTGTTACAAGCCGATATTCTAGATACTTAAGGTGGACACGGCCGATCGTTGACCTAGCTCCCAGCCATGGGAAGGGAAGCTAGATCTATTGTTGGGCGCAGCAAATTAGAGCTACATAAATCAAGATTATGTATGGGCAGGTTCTGTCGCACCTTTGTCTGCGCTTAACCTCCTCTCATTCGGAAAATGTACCACTTGCAACCCGTGTGCGTTGGTTTCGTCAATTTTCATAACTGTTAAATGAGACTGGTGTGGGAGATTTAGTGTCCCAGCCTAGAACGAGTCAGAAGAGTATTAATGGAGAGGCTGGTCCAGACCGATTAAAACGTGTCATAAGAGTAAGACGCTGGCCCAAATTGATTGCTCCAAGTTATTGTCAAATTTACATACTGTACTAGAAGGAAATAAAAATTGTTGCATTCGTCGACACACGACTGTTACACCGCTTTCGCATTAGATACATCACCTTGGCATACGAGTGAAAGTGTACGTCAGCAGGCCGAAACAAAACTGCTTTCGAGCGAATAAGACATCCCGCANAGTGTCCTACAGGANAATGTTCCAACTGTATGAAGCTGCGCAATGCAGCAGCAGAAAACCGGGATGCAAACTACAACAAAATTAGATCGCAGTTCAATGAGGCGAGTCACGTTGACTACGCATTGCATTCAACAGCAACATCCATCGTGTGAAAATACTACCGCACCAGGTGCTTCGAGGCGATACGATACCTAGCCGCAAACTATTTACAACGGGCGAAACACAAATACCGAGCTTCCGAAATAAATTTAAAAGTATAAGCTTTAGTGCGTTTATGAAACGTTCACTCGGGAATTTTGACCTGCACACAGTTGGAACGGGCCATACGAGGTTCGGCAATTGGCAAGCGGCAGGCAGACACGAAACGGAGGACATACCTCGTTATCGAACACGGAGAACTTCTTAGCGCGGATACGCATATCGAAAAGCTGCAATGCAAAGCGTTTTGCAGGTTAGGTCGCGCATTGTTGGCGTTTCTCCCTACATGTACCCGAGTGGACGCACCGATTTTATTTCGTTCTCGTAGCGTGACCCAACAGCTGCAGCGTACTTTTCGTCATCGTAGAACGCAGGATTACGGGTTGCCCTGCTCCGAAATGGCAGCCTCGTCAGCAAGACGTCGTCGAGACAAGCTACAAGTCAGCGAACCCGACCAAAAAGCTTACTCGGGATCACGGGTCGGAATGCGAGTAGTTATAGTGGCAAGGCCCATAACAGCACAGGCAATAGGCACAAGGAGGCAGTAAACGTCCGCCGGGAGCTTGAACGCAGCTGAGCGGGGTGCCATTCCTTGGTCTGTCCTTCCTACGTGACACAGCTGCCTGTTGAATTGGAGTATCTACCAAACAAGCACGTTGCAAGCCGTTTTGCAGACTATTGGCATGGATGGGCTTTGTATGGGGGCGCGCTCGACACTTACTGACGTGGAGTACGGCAAAATCGAAGTCAAGATTTGCTGTACTGAGAACAGGTCAAATCATATGTATCATGGCTCTTCCGTTCCACTGAGGTCAAGTCATTTTTAATATTTAATTTTTTGGGTAGCGATGTGCGCTGATTTGCGCGGGTTAACTTTGCATTCCATTTTTTCTCCGAGAGCGGTTGACGAAATGTTGGCTTAGGTGCTGCATGTATATTACATATTCGCCAGGCACATTTTGCCATGCCTTCGAATTTTACCAACTTGTTGCTTTAAACGCATGCAATGGTTAGCATAAGGATGCGCGATAGCGCGGCGAAACAAGGCGGCTTTCCTTGAGGCTGAATTTTCGGTTTGCGATGCATCGACTCGACGATTTCATACGGGGTGGTCGATACGCAAAATTCGAGCGTGCTTGGCGAGAGGTGCTGGTACACTTGGACAGCTCGGGATGCCGCGGCAAAAACCCAGGCATCGCCGCGACTGGTCGCAGCACCATATAAAAACTGTGCGTAGCCGTAACGCAACCAACCCCAAATAGTAACCGGTTTACAGAAACTTCTCGTTTTCCTGACGTCCCAAGACAGGTCAGGTTGCGGCTTACATCGTTGGGCTAACAGATCCATCCCACAGTAATAATAGCAAACATGGGCGCAGTTCTGTGTCGCTGTATGACACTGGGTGTCCTCACATAAACAGCAAGCACCATTCCCTCAGGGGAGGGAGGGAGTTCCGAGGTTCAATTTGCCCCTCGCCAAACAAAAAATAACCAACAGTGTTGCCGAGGCTAATACTAAGCTACAGGCCCCTACTGCCGAATCCCCCACTGGCAAACCACCTGGACAAAAAGTGAATGCAAAACACTACCACCCGTCACAAATCACAACAAAAATGCCAGACAGAAATGCAAAAACCAATCTGGTACTACAAACGTCTCACTTCCCATCATGGTGTGTCCTCCCCTTCCTGGCGATGCCCTTTTCATCCTCCCGCTTCTCTATTTACATGCGCGAGATGGGCTTGGTGACAATGTGCTCGTAGCACAGCGTGGTCAGGAAGTCACTGTAGGGGCCCCCCGTGATGGTGCCCGCCAGCAGCCGGGCCGCCAGCTCGTACTTGGACGCGGCGAAGCGCTGAGCGCCCAACTGAAGGGAACCACAACGTATTGGGGGGGGGGAGGGATGTAAACATTAACGCAAGGAGACGTGTTACCAAAAAACGCGTGTTGCAAAAAGCGACTAGCTTATCGCGGGAAAATGGATTGCTGGCAGCTGTATAGCCAGCGGCACGGCAATACACCTCCATCGCCAAAGACATCAGCCAAAGAGCAAAGCTGCAAGCAAGTTTTGCAAGTTGTGGTTGGTCCTCAGGGAATATAACCTGGGGGGGCCAGCAACCTGGAGACGGCTCCAGGTCGCACGAGGGGCTTTGTTGGCCTCACCTTGGCCTTAGCCGCCTCCACCTCCTCCTGCAGGATCTGGGTGACCCATGGGGCGCTCACCACCCGGCCCTCACGAGTGATGGCACCGTGCCGCACCCACTGCCACACCTGGGACCTGCGGGGGAAGGGAGCAGTCGGAGAGGGAGCAGTCCTTGAGCTGGAACAGCCCGGTGCGATGTCGGTGGATGCTACTTGGCAAGTAAGGACTGAAGATCCCAAACAAACGAGGCGAGGGAAGAAGAAGCTCGGCTATCGCGGTGCTATCCACTACCTGCAAAGGCCCCATTCTCCACACACGCCCAGCCCGCCCCCGCTTTAAACAACGAGTCAAAAGCACCCACGCGCCAGTCCCTACTACCTGCTAATCTCAGCCGTGGCGGCATCTTCCATGAGGTTGTGGATGGGCACACAGCCCACTCCCCGGAGCCAGCTCTCCATGTAGGCTAGGCCCACACTGAGGTTGTCACGCAAACCGCGCTCGGTGATGCCGCCATCCGCCAGCAGCTGACCACCGCCGACACACAGCAGGTCGGCCGCAGTCACATTCACGTCATCACGCCGGATGTGCAGCTGGTTGGGCTGCGGCATGTGCCTGCAGCGGGGGGGGGGAGAGGGGAACAGGAGGAGGTTGGTCGGTGCAGGTTTCCAAGGGGGGGGGGAAAAGAGAAATCCAACCAAGCCTTATGGGAGTAACCTGTCTGCAAACAACTAATCGCATTTTTTAGGCTTTGCACCTTGGCAGGTAAGTAGCAGCGACGCGTACATATGTAAATAAACTTTCCTAGGCGGGAAAGCGACTTGGGCACCCCCACCCCCACCCACTCACTACTCACTTGTTGAACACCTCGAGCGCTATCTTGACGAGCTCTGGGTGCGCCACCCAGGTGCCATCATGGCCCGCAGTCACCTCGCGCTCCTTGTCAGCACGGACCTGAGCATTCATTAACGATCAAGAAGCCAACACACAAACGGAACCGACAGCTGCTGTTTATCTAGTATTATAGTACATGTGTAGTACTGTGGATGCACGCGTTTTGGCCTTTCCCGCGAAAGTGCCTCCGGCGCTTGATCTTTTCCTCGACCACGCGTTCTAGTGACGTGACCCACATCCACACACCACGACTTCACACGACGCAATACATCCTCGGGAGAGCATCCAGATTTCTACGACCCCATATCAACGATACCCCTGGTACAGCAATATACCAGATGGTAAGTAGCTGGTGGGTGGGTGGGTGGCGGAGGAAATTACATGCAGCGAAGAGACAAAGGACCTACTGCCAATGCCAGTTCAGCACCCTGGCTTGTCGGGGACGAGGGCCAGCAAACGCACCTTGGCCAGGGCTGCGGCGTTGGCAGCAGGGTCGTCCTTAATTGGGATCTGGGCCGCCATACCGCCCATGGCGTGCACACCGCTGGCTCGGGTTGGGGCGGTGAGGAAGAGAGCAGGCGGGAGGAGGAGAAACACGGGGGAGGGGGAGATGGAGAAGCCGAGGAGCTGGGGTGCGATGCAGACGCAGCCACACGTGAAGCAATCCGCAGCCTGTTGTTAAGCGTCCCAGCGGCCCCCCCTGGTAGCCACGCCATCCACGAAAGAACTAACAGTCATCCAACTAGCCGCCTTGGCTACTCACCGCTTATGGCACGTCTTAATGAGCAGGCGCACGTACGAGTCCATGAAATGCGACGTCATTGTCACCGCCGAGCGGTCCGGCAGCACGTACTGGCGGTGGTTCCGGAGCTTCTTGATGAAGGAGAAAATGTAGTCCCAGCGGCCGCAGTTGAGTCCTGAAACGGAGCGAAGAGGGAGATGACCGGGAGATGACCGGGGGGCACATACTCCATATTCCCAAACGCTCTTTTTAGGCACCACAAAAACAGTCATGCTTCACAGTCATGATTACTCCACAGATCCAAGTCGAAGGCCCGGCCCCCAATTTGACAGCACCCGGTCCTCTTCCCCTCCTCCTCCTCCTTACCAGCAGAGTGGTCTCGGAGCTCGAATAGAATTTCTTCCATCTCAAACGCCGCCAGCAGCGTCTCAATGAGGACGGTGGCGCGGATAGTGCCGCGGGGGATGCGGATCATGTCCTGGGCCGCATTAAAGACGTCATTCCACAACCTGTGGTTTAAATTCGCGGTTCAAGTGACAATGACATCCTTCGGATTGCGCATTTACACGTCACTGTGGAGCACACGTGTCGCTTCGAGCAGGCCCGCACGGACTAGGCCACACGCTTCCAACCTGCTTCTCAAGCGACATCTGACACTCAACACAACCGACAGCACCAAACCTCTTGCATTCCCACATGTTCATTCATCATTCCCGTATCTCCCACACGGCCCTACCTACCTGGCCTCCAGATGGCTCTCCATCTTGGGCAGGTAGAAGTACGGCCCCTCGCCCACAGCAAGGATAGCCCGGGCGTTGTGAAAGAAAAAGAGGCCAAAGTCAAACATTGATCCCGAACAGGGCTCTCCATCCACAAGGAAGTGAGCCTCTTCCAGGTGCCATCCGCGAGGGCTGAAGAGGGAAGCGGGTGCGCGGGTGTGCGGGTGAAAAGAAAGCCACCGAGGAGTGCGACAGTGCCCGGGAAACGCCACACAAGCTGAGCAGAGAGAAAAGAGAGAGGAAAATTTTGTTGTTTAAAGAGGTTTCTTGTTAAAAAAAGTTTTTTTTCACCATCAGGACCACCTGGGCCATCACCATCATTGATCAGCGGTAAAAACAAAAAGTGTGCGAGCTCCATATCGCAGAGGGCCGCAGATCAGGTGCGCGTCCAGGCCTCTAATAGAGACGCAGGGGAATAGGTGAAGGAAGTCAGACTGTGAGCTTGATGGTCCTGGGTTCCTGGGAATCGTGTGCGCGAGTGGCCCATGAAAGATGTCCGCGAGGATTCACGATGTCCTACGTACTCATCCAGGTGTTCATTCTCCAAGTGCATTTTCTCACAAGTGCACAACTCACCGTACAAGCAAGGTAGCCAGCTTGCCGTCGCCGCGCAGGCGGTACTGCTTTCCGTTGGGGGCCGTGTACGAGATGGTACGGCGAATAGCGTCTCGCAGGTTCACATGGCCATCCAAGTTGTTGGCCCACGTCGGGGCGTGGGAATCTATACGAGTCAGGTAGATGTGGAAAAGGAACGTGATCAGAGTCTAAAAAAACGTTGTAAATTTGGTAGTGAGGAATACAGTGAGAAGGAATACTATTTCTAGGTTCCAATTTCCTGACCGCAGGTTTGCCGCTGTGCCTAGTTGTGGAGAGGCGCTGCTTGCCATACTCGTAATGCTGCGTATATACACCGCGAACATCGTCATGTATGCACGCGATTGAATCAGCCCCTCCAGCGTGGGGCTTGCCCGCGCACGTGGTGCCTGCGAACCCTCCTAATAGTAACCCAACCTCAAAGTGCACCCACCCTCAAAGTCAGCCATATACTGGGTGGCGCCCGAGTTAAAGGCGTTGATGACCATCTTTCGGTCAACGGGGCCTGTGATTTCCACACGGCGATCCACGAGGCCAGGGGCTGGCGGAGCGCAGCGCCATGCAGGCGAGGCTCGCACGGCGGCAGTCTCCGGCAGGAAGTCAGGCAGCCTATAGCGGTTATAGGAATAAATATAACCAGGACACAGGAATATTGTTAAACCTAAGGTTTGAGAAAAGGGTCGGTTAAGGAACACTGCGGTGCATGCGCCGGACGCCGTGAGATTGCGTCGCGAGAACAGGGATAGAATCCTTGCCAAAAAAACGGATGGCCCTGAAGTTAAAGATTCATCTAGTGAAAAGGCTACGCAATGATATGATGACTGTTGTCACGCCCCAAGGACCCTCGCAGGTTGGTTACATGCGCTACGAAAATATCGCACCTGCCGGCGTCAAGCTCCTTCTGACGCAATTCGCGGCGCTTCAGAAGCTCCTTGCGACGCGGGTTGAACACGCGGTGCAGTGTTGCCACAAAGAGCTGCGCTTCGGGGGTGAGGATGTCGGCGTGCTCCGCAGCGACAGGTCCCAAAATGGCAACACCGGGAACAGTCTGGACAGCCATTTAACTTTTGATGTAAAACGAATTAGACAGCGACGATTGAGGCACAGTCCAATTGCAGAATCCCACAGGTGCTGACACACTCCACGGAGTACAACGCCCCGGCTTGAAGTGAGCTGTCTTCGCGGTGCGCCAAACGCAGTGCTAAATGCAACAGCACCAACTTTCTTCAATCAGGAACTGTGTCCAGGCAATGACTACACCTGAAATGTGCTCAATACGCTTATATTACAGTCATCGTACGGGACGGTTTGCTGTCAGCAAACCGTCAGTCATTCGTCGTATGGGCCCTTCCACACATTACCCAGGCAACTCAATTATACACCCTATGTAAGCTCAAACTAAACCAGCATTCTAACCTGAACCCTGTTCGGCAAACCGCTTTCTATAGTCTATACGACTATACTGGCAAAACTTGCATTATTGCAGGCAAGGCTTCCCCTGGTCGCCTATACACCAAGTCCGATTGAAGTATATGGACCGCAAGATAAAACTTCGTTGCATCAACTGCTACCGGTTGATTGTCGCTCTCGACTTTCTTCGGGGTACTCGGTGTTAGTCTTAGACAGGTCCTCCACGTCTTTAAGGACATCGCCAAAAACGGCTGGATTGCGTTGCATACAAAGCCGCATGGCCTCGAACTGCACAGATAGACAACGATTGAAGGATCATCTTTTTCAGCTAATCTCAGCACTTCTTTGTTAACCTTACCAGTGGTATGCAATCTTTGTAGTCACCGTCTCCTTTCTCTCCACGTACACCACAATCCATGAATTTCTGGGGATACGATAGTGGCTGTAACTATGAGAGCCGCACATATAATAACATGGGAAACAACGCTATAATGATACTGTGCTTATAAAGCTCACATTGAATTCTTGCTCACAGCCGCCCTCGCGAAACATGACGCAGATTGGGCACTCCTTCTTTTCCACAGACTCCGATGGCCTCTCCGGTGCAGACATAATGCTCACAGGGGTGAACGCCCCACGTTATAGATCGATAGAAGTATTCGGCAACGGCCAATATATAGGTAAACGGTCCCTCGATATTTTGACTAGGGCAAATACTAAGCTGGGTTGGAATCAGTAGTGTGGAATAAATTGGATATTAAAAGAGCAAAACACTGCAAGAATGCAGCCTTCTACTGGATGCTGCAGCTGCTGGAGTATGGCTTTCAAGGGCCTTTGCAAACGACAGATAATGCTGAGCAGCGACGTTATAGTATTAAGGTACTGAAGGAATACCATGACAAGAAGTATTATGGTTGACCGTTGGTATGGTCCCGGAGCTTCATAGAAAATTGGGGAACATCCCCAAAGATGTGCCGATGGGAATCGAAGAACCATGCGATCGTGCAAGCTGCCGGATGACCAGCATTCTGCCCGGGAAAATGCAAGCGTGGCGTAGGCAGCACATATGCACTAATCCAACATCCACCTGTGTTGAACCACCCTTTTTCCAAGTGCAACTTTCGTGTAGCCCTTCTTAAATCAATGTGCAGCTAACACAATGTGTCATAAGGTAACGTTGCGGACGTTGAATGACAAGCGGAACCCTCAGGCAGGTAGCATACGGTTGGGATTTCACGGGGGGAGATAAGGACTAAGGTTAAGACTGCATGCCGAAGTACTTCTAGCTGCATCCAAAAATGGTGCGAACGACGCCAGTCTTAAAAGGGACTGTCGGCAAGTTTCGCCATGACCAAGCCAACGCATCGGCGTCAGTAAATTCGGATTAAATCCATAAACGGACAATTAGAAGCAGTAAATGCACAGGGTCTGTGCAGCAGGATCCCTTCAGGTCAATGGAGATGCCGGAACGGACAGCTTCTGGAATAATTCCCCTTGTACTCGCCTATGTTCATACAATAGCTTCAGCCATTTTAGTGGTTTACGGATTATTTATTGGTATTTTGGTACTGGTAACTGCGTTGCTATTGCACCAAAGGTACATTTTAGTTCGAAGCTGAAATTATCTAACCCATCCTGCAATCATTACAAATAGTGCCTTAGGACTTTGATCCAAAAAGCCTTGAAGGATATTCTGTGGCCATAGTTCACAGTGTCAGGTCTGGACCTTAATCGAGAAGCGAGCAGCCCGTTTGTTGAATACTCCTAGTATATCGGAATCGAAATGCGCTAGTGCTTTCGATCCGTCGAGCTTTCTCTTTACTGTGTGTTCGTCTGGGTTGGCCTGACATCAAAGCTGCCGGACCATGGGCGGGCGGGGCTCAAAACCTTTGCAAAATGACGAGAATCAGTACCCTGAAGATGGCATGCCATGGCTTGTGGACCAAAAGAATGGCGCTAGGCCGTCCAATTTCCACCAGCTGTCGGAGGTCAAGGGCGTGCCACACACCGAGTCCGTCTCGAGTCGGCTCAACCGTGGCATGAAAGTTTCAAGCGTCGTCTCTTTTGGCCAGCTAAGCGAGGATATTCAAAGGCCCCTAAACTCGGCACGCGCTGCGCTGAACAGCGTGCACAGCCGCATGGACCTACTGCAGGTGCGTGCCCGGGTGACCACACGGCTGAAGCGAATGAATCGTGGTTAGCTTGAACCGCTCCGAAACGATATAAAGGCTGGGCTTGCGCAAGGCTTGGTGCCCTATGGGTACCCCTTGATTCCACTTCGAGCATGGCATCCTGTTCCGACATACCCTTACCCCAGAGGCGCCTGGATGCAGCTTAATGGCCAACGCGCTTCCTATGATGGTAGCTGATGGCGGCAAATCAGACAGCCTAGCTGTCAATCCACTCCGACGCAGCCCACGGCTGCAACGCCGCAAGGAAAGAAGGGACTAGCGTGTCTGCGATCTGCGAGTTGACTTTGTCTGGTCCGTGCTCGCCTTCTGTCCCCCTGTCCACCGCGCCGCAGGAGTTTCATCTGCGAGAGATGGCGGCTGCAGCTCTGAAGCGCGAGAAGGCGCTTGACTGGCTTCCGGAGTACCGGCCTGTGTCGGTAGTGCCGCCCGCCCGCGGCGCCATAACCCATCTAGAGCGGGTCACGCGGGTCAGTCAGGCGGCCATCCTCACGGTAAGCGACGGATATTGGGAGACGGGGGGAAGCGCTGATCGGGGAGGGAGGCAGTAGGAGCGGTTGCGTCATCAGGGCCCGTCCGTTCGCCTCCGCTGTGTTCAGGCACTCCCAGAGTAGTAGGGTATCTCCTTGTGGGTACTGAAAGCTGCGGCAAAGCGCCGGATGGCATCCGGCGGCGTGCTCACTATGTACTGATACTTTGTTGCATACACAAGCACGCGCGCGCGTGCGTGTGCGTGTGCGTGTGTGTATGTATTTCTATGTATGTGTCTCGCTCGTGCTTTCCCGCGCCAGGTCCCACGGCAAGTAACGCAACCTCGAAGCAATGGATCGCGTCTCTGTTGGAGGCCGATCTGGGTCTTATTGCCATCATCTTGGCCGATCTGGGTCTTAATGCTAATTTGTCCTCTCGGAGTGCTATGTGTGTGAAGAGTGCCTACGCCTGGACTTGGATCTGGTTCAAGCGTATTTGCTTTATGTCGTTCACCTGTAGGATGTACCCGTGGGCCGCAAGACCAAGATTGTTTGCACTCTGGGCCCGTCTTGTTGGTCGGAGTCCGGTTTGTGTGGGCTGCTGGATGCGGGTATGGACGTGGCGAGGTTCAACTTCAGCCACGGAACCCACGCGGCGCATCAGGAGGTGCTGGATCGATTGAGGAAGGTGGGTGCGGGGAGAAGGGGAGGGGAGGGCGAGCGAGGAACTAGAGACGGGGCTGGAGATAGGGCTGGTGGTGAGGGGAAAAGGGGCCTGGAAGGAAAGTAAAGGTAGATAAGGGGAGGGGAAGAGGTAGCGGGAGGAGGAGCAGGGGTTCTGGGTGTACGGGTTTAGGCTCGCAGTGTGGAGAGATCCCTTTGCGAGCAGCCTCTCTCCACATCGTTTTGCTCTCTTTTTCCGTACCTAGCTTCTTCGGCAGCTGACCCTTTGTTTCTTGCATAGAACTTCCTACCTACCGTTGACTCCGTACCTACCTACCACCTACCAGGTTGCAGAAGCCAAGAAGAGCTGTGTCGGCTTTTTGTTGGACACCAAGGGTCCGGAGATCCGCACCGCCATGCTGCGTGGCGGCAAGGACATAGAGCTGGTGGCGGGTCAGGACGTGACGGTGGTGGCGGTGGGCGAGGAGTATGTGCGGTGGGAGGGCTACAAGGAAGCTACTGGCGAAACCAAGATCGGTATCAGCTACGCCAAGCTGTGCCAGAGCATCAAGCCCGGCGGCACGATCCTGCTCGCAGACGGGGCCATCAGCATCGAGGTGGTGTCAATCCTCAACGACACCGAGCTGCTGGGCCGGGTCATTAACTCACATAGACTGGGCCAGCGCAAGAACTGCAACTTGCCGGGTGAGAGGCCGGGAATCAGCGAAGCCATCCACCAGGCGAGGCGTTGTATATCCTGCTGTGGCTTTTTGTTTGCTCGCTCGGCGAGACGGGGTCTCAGACAGCGTTCGGTTGGTCGGTGGTCCCCCACTGCGTTTCCTCTGTGTAGTGGATTTGCTTCCTTCATTCACCCCCAACTTCCTACAACGACCTACAGCTCCCGTCCTTATCCCTGGCCATATCTCTCCTTGCCTTCCTTGCGCAGGCGTGCACGTCGACCTGCCCGTGCTCAGCCCCAAAGACATTGACGACGTTCAGAACTTCGCGGTGAAGAATAAAATGGATTTTGTGGCGGCGTCCTTCGTGCAGGCAGGTGTTCAACCACCTGGCGTCCCAAGCGGCCTGGAAAGCACACGCGAAAAGCGCCGCGAAGAAGCTTGCTGCGTGTGCGGTCTTAACTCTTATGCATGCAACCACCCGCGTGTATGTGAACACCGTTGTTTGGCCACACGGCACGACCACAAAGTGGATCATTCGAAGACACACATCCTGGGTAGAGTTGGCCCCTCCTCGTGTGGGTACCCCCTCCTCAACACTTCCTGCTGGCGGCGCAAAGTAGTTCATGCGTACACACCTATGACCGCACACCTCACACGCTCCTGTGTCGGCCTCCTGTGTCTGCTGTCAGCTGCGTGAATAAAAAAAGGAAAAGACCGTGAGCCCTGCACAAGATGTTCACCCGTGCGCGTGGTCGTGTTGCCCCGGGCACGTGGCTCGTTTGTCAACCTCCCCACCCGCCCACCCAATCACCCATCGCCACCCCACC